CAGGGGCACCAAGCTGACAGATGTCAGGTGGCCTAAGCAGCACCAGCCTTATTGAAGGTCTTATCTTCCCTATGGCCCTACTTCAGTTCCTGCACATGCCCTGCGAGGCCAGGTCCAGACTTTTGGAGAGGAGGGAGTGAAGCCCAGCTTTTCTCCATGCAGGGCTATGATCCCAAAGAAAGACCAACACTGTTCAACAGACTGCTTGTCCTGGGGAATCAGTCACAGGATGATGGGGGGCGGGGCAGGAGTAAAGGGAGTGCAGGCACCATGAGGAAAGGCGGGAAGTCTGTGCCTGCCCATGTCCAGTGTTTATCTTAATGTAGTGTTTATCTAGAAGGTGAGAGGCCTCCTCAGAGCCTTAGCCAGGGAAGAGGCGAGAGGACACACAGCTCGGGACCTGGATGGTGGGGGCTCTGGGAACAATATTCCCAAGATGTAGAAACAAGGTGGTGAGAAGGGAGGAGGAAGTAGAGCCAGGAGTCACACAGAGAGTGAGAGCCCGGGGTCCACAGACTGAGGGGCCAGGCACACCAGGCCCGAGAGCAGCAAAGCCTCTGCTAGTCCCCATGGGAATATGTGAGCAAAGGAGCGGCCTTTCCGGACTGAGGGGAGCCACCCCCAGCACACAGTTCCCTAGGCCACACCATTGGGGCCTGTGGTCAGCATCACGGGGAGGCCACAGCCACCGCTATGCCCAGCATAAAGCATCCAAGCTCGGGGTACAAGACGAGGGCCACATATCAGCAGATGGATCCCTGGGCATCTGCCTGTCCTCCCTCCTCTCTAATCTTCATCACCTCGGCTCAACCCCAAAAATCCAAGGAGTCTCCAGCCTGGCCCGGCTTGAGGCCACCCCCAGGTCAGTCTATGGATGTCAGGGCAGCAAATCCACAAGCAAGAGAGATCATGAGGCAGGATCTGAGTCAATGCTCTTTCAGGAGGGCCCTGCCTACCTCTGGCTGTCTCTTCTGCAGAACTCGGCAGTGCTGGCTCGGGGCCCGAGAATCTTCCCCCTGAGAATCTGCTCTCAGGGATGGGCCAGATGGCAAGTGCTTGTGTCTTGTGTAAATTTAGATCAGAGACTTATAAGCCATTATAGCTGGTCAGCCCTTGAAAAAGGAGCCCAACCCTTCATCCAACAGAGGAGAAAAGGAGGCCCAGAGAGGGGACATTCATGCCCAAGGCCAGCCAGTCAGTGGGCAGTGGAACGAGGGCTTGACTCCTGGTCTGGGCCCTTGGATTTCTCACCCTCCTGTTTCTCTCTCTTTGAACCTGTGTGTGCCCTAAGCAACACGACCCTTACATGTCTCTTTTATAATCCTGGTGCTTGGAGAAACAGAATAGCACAGCGTCAAGGGGCCCAACCCCCGAATTAAAACCTGGGGTCTGACACCGGCTGTGTGCGAGGGCTTGACTCCCGGTCTGGGCCCTTGGACTTCTCACCTTCCTGCCTCTCTCTCTTTGAACCTGTGTGTGCCCTAAGCAACAAGGCCCTTGCATGTCTCTTTTACAATCCTGGTGCTTGGAGAAACAGAATGGCACAGCGTCGAGGGGCCCAACCCCCCGAATTAAAACCTGGGGTCTGACACCGGCTGTGTGCGTCAGAACATCACGGGGGTGTGTTTTCTAATCTCTGCGTCAGTTTCTCATCTACAACATGGGGATGATGATAGCACGTAACTCCTAGGTTGTTGAAAAGATTGAATGAATTAACAGACATAAAGTATTGAGAGACAGTGCTTGGCACAGCACACCTTCTGTTAGCCACTGCCTGTCATTGGGAGCAGCCTCCTTGGCAGACCCCCATGTCTCACTGTCAGCCGACACCTCCCCTCAGCTTCCTGCCTGTAGTCACATTCGCCTGTGGTTGGGTGGTGGGTTATCAGTGCGGAGTTGGGCTGCACGATCTCCCTCCATCTGGGGGTCTCTTTCATTGGTGGTGAGGCAGCCAATCAATGGTGGTTCTGTGGATGTGAGCCCCAGGAGGTGGGGAGAATAAGTGGCTGCCTCCCGACCCCACTCATGGACCAGCTAGGACCTCTGTGGCCCCGTGCACAGGAGCACCCTGGGCAGATGGAGGATCTGGGCCATCACTTCCTCCCTGATGTGGGTTCAGTGCGGGGGGAGGGCCAGAGGGGGGGGACGGGGCTGGGTTGACTCTGTGATCTGCCTTGAGGGGCCAAAATGGGGGGAGGGGCAGGTAGAAACCTCAGGCACCTAGGGCTGGAACAAGGGCCCATCTTGGCCTCTGAGGATTCTCTGTCCTATTCCTCTTTGAACAAACAGCAGTAAGAGCCGAGCCCCCACGGATCCTGCATGGGGCCCAACAAACCTAATGTCCCCACCTGACATGAGACCCTCCCCAACCCCTGGCCATGGCCATGGGGACATAGCTTTGGCCTGAGGCTCCCAGCAGATGGCACTAGGGGCCACCGGAGAGCCACCAGCACTCCCAGAGAGAGAAGTCAGAGTGGGAGACACGGGGTGGCAGGGAGGACCACAGACACACGACGGGTATCACTGTACTTGTCTGAACGCTGTCTGATAAACCACCATCCTCTTCAACATCTCCTGTGGCTGCCAGAAAAAAAAAAGTTCCATGCCTTATGTTACCAACAGGCCTCGTCTGCCCCCTGGTGCCCGATCACGGGCCTGCCACCCTGGAGTGGCCCTGACAAAATCCCTCCCCAAATAGACACAGCCTGATTTACATTCTGGCCCCATACGATGTCCCCAGACACACAGCTACCCAGTTCTAGTCAAGCAGACACCACCCCTTGTCATCAGCCAGAGCATGCGACACAGATGCACCAGCTGCTGTCACGAGCGCATGAACCTAGCTTGTCGGGAAGCTGACAGGACAGTTAGAGCTCCAAATAAGTACCTGAGCTGCCCTGCCCTGACATTTGGGTAGGGTTTTTTTGAAAGGAGAATTAGAATTCTGGCATGACTCTTCCCACCATGGGTGGGAGGTTAATCAGTGGCTGGTGCCCCTGGAGCAGGTGCGTGTGAGTCCCAGCTCGCTCAGCTGTGGGTGACCAAGAGCGGGCAGACCTCCCCTCTCCCCCAGGACCACACCTCACACTCTCAGTCCCAGAGAGGAGTGAGATGTGAACTGGAGGGTGGATCTGCTTTGGCAAGGTCCCCTCTGAGGGTGGCCCATGCCATGCGGAGCCACGCCGGGCATTAGGGGCAGAGGCAGGACTGCTGGAATCACCGTAAATTTAGGCAAGTTGGCAATGTAGGTAAGAGCTTGGGCTTTGGATTCTGAATGACTCTGAAGTAAGTAGTAAGTCCTGGCTTTGCCTTGGGCATCTGACTTAACCTCTCTAAGCTTTGGGTTCCTCAAGTGTGAAACATGGGTAACAGGTACCATCTACTGGGTTGGTGAGGATTAAGTGAGACCCTGCAGAGCCAACACATGGTAGGCTCACAGCAAGTCTTAGTGATTATTTTTATTACTTCTAGATGGAGCTGCAGCCTGTTTGGTCAAGTGAGGAACAGGAATGTCACTGGCCATGTCAACAACCACTTACACCCATGTGGGTTCATCTCGTGGCCAATGAGATGGTTAGGAGATGGCACCTGATGTGAGTTTGTGTCCCACCTCATTGTCCCACCTCACTGTCCCTCCAGCAGAACCCAGAGGAGGCGGCCCTGGTCTGCTCTCTGGCGATGCGCTGGAGGGGACCCGGGAGGCTTACCAGGACCTCGGATTTCACCGCTGGCCTGTAGATGAAGTTGGACTCCTGGTGGACCATGACAGGCTTGGAGATGGTGGACACGCCAGGGCCTCGTGGAGGCTGTGGACTTGGGCAGAATGTCTACAGAGGTTAGTTTAAGAGAGACCCATGTGAGGTCATGGCGGGCATGGCCCAGGTCAACCGCGGCACTCTGACACACGTGCAAATTCACACCATGCACATGCTGAGCCAGCCTGGTCCGTTCACCTGCCAGAGGTCCTGGGGTCTGATCTCCAGCAGAGAGATGAGCAATCTGCTGGCCACAGTGTGCCCTGAACTCAGACACTACGTGCCTCTAGGGAATCAGGGACTTGAGCCAGAGTCTGGTTCTGGGGTCACCAGCAGCCACTGTCACTCAGAGGATAGGCTTTCAAGGCTTCTTCTCAGTGGCCTTGGATGCCGTCCAGCCTCCTCTCTCCCCAAGGCTTCTCTCTTCTGGCCACGGTTCCAGTCCCCTGACTGCACAGGAAGTATCTCCTGTCCCTGATGGGTGGGCATAGAGTCTCTGGAGGCTGGGGGTGAGGAGCAGTAAGAGAGGCATCCTGTCTGCTTTGCTCTAATGCACTTGATCATCTTGGGTAACACAAATCAAATTGGGTCACAAATCCTACCCAGGGCCCTGGATGGGTCCCCACTGACTACGGAGCCCCTTGACTTGACCCCAAGATCCTTCATGAGTTTCTCTACTTCCCTTTATACTCATTGCTCACTCCTCTCCCTTCTCACACTGCCTACTTTTATCCTCCAAAACACCAGGTTTTCTTGCCTCAAGGCTTTTGCACAGGCTCTTTCCTGCTGCTTTACCTCCCAGGTGTTAGCTTGGGAAGGTATCATTGCCCTCAGAAAGCATTCCTTGAGCTTTTCCTCTCCACTTCTGCTGCTCATCCCCAGTGTTCCCATCTCCCTCTGGTAGTGTGGTGGTTTCCTGCTGACTTGTCTGTCTTCCCATAGGACTTTCTTGGACAAGGACTGGACTGCCTATTTTGTGGTGGTGCTCCAGTGCCCACCATAGTGTCTAGCATATAGTAGTTGCTCACTAAACATGTTTTATGAATAAAGGGATGACTTAATAGTATAGTGGGCACATGAGACAGTGCCTGGGGGTAGATATGACCCTGAAAACCTTCCCTTGGCGGGTGCTGATGAGGCAGGTACAGAAGCCAACACAGGTGCCTTTTCCCACTACCTGAGACCGGCTGCTGGCTGGGCTGACAGTGCAGATGTGTGATCAACCACACCTCCTGCTGCTGCACTGATGACAACTCACTAGGAGCATGCAGAGAGGAGGGTGGGCAGGGTTGCGGGTGCAAGTGCCAAAGTGCTAACTAATAAAACAGCAGCCCCTGGCCTTTGAGTCAGGAAAGGCCTGGCTTTGATGTTGCTTAAGACACTTACAGTCCAGTTTTTCAGAGGCTCCTTGTGCTGGGGGGAGTTTTTAATCCTCCCTGTGCTCTGATCGGGAAGTAGCAGCGGGAACTTCGTAATTCCTGGAGCAATCTCTGGGAAAGCTGGATCCTGTTTTGAAGCTTGACCCTGACTCAAAAGTTGGCAGAGGTTACCTCCAACCTCATGTTTGCAGCTTCACCCAAATTTTCTTGTACCTTGATTTGTCGCTGGTCACAGTTAATGTCTACGCAGCACCTACTATGTGCCTGCCATACTCCTAAGTATTAACTTAGAATAAGGTCATGTGTTAACTCATTTGATCCTCATAACAGGGAGGTTCCATTAACATTCCACTTTATGAGTGAGGACACCCAGGCTCAGCCTGATGAGGTAACACATGCTCAGCCAGGATTCACACCCAGGCAGTTCCTCCTGGCAGTTCCCTGCACCTGCAATGCCCTCCCCCGCGTCCTTCATGCATCGCCATCCCTCAAGGCTCAGCTCTACAGAGGTGCCTGCAGCCTCCCGTTAGAAGGAGTCTCTCCCACACAACACCTGACCTGTGCTGATTTTATAGCCGGTCCTGCCCTTGTCAGCTGCTCATCCTTCCGATGGCAAAGTCCCGGAGAGCACAGGTGGGCCCACCTCCCGGGTCCTTTGCAGCACTGTTCCCCTCCCCCTTCACACAGAGAGGCACAAGGCAGGTCCTCAATCCATGATTTTGGAATCGAATTTGTTGAGGAAAAGCTGCCCCCCATCTGGGTGGGGACCCCTCACAATAAAGATGTGGTCCTCTGTGCCTGGCTCATTCAACCGCCTGCAAACCTGGTCCTGGCTGGGCTCTGAGGGAAGACATCCCTGGAACAGTCAGGGCTCAGGACTCCACCAGAGGTTCAGAGGGA